GAACTGTTTTACGTTAAAAAGGTACTCTTGTTTCAAATCGTTATCTTTAACGGTTTCTGAGAAAATCGCTCTTGAATTAATCCCACTTTGGTCAATTTCATAGTAATTTAAACAAAAAATAATAATAATAATTTTCCTTTCCTCTCTTTTCCATTTAAAGGATTAATTTTTATTTAATTTAATTTTTTATTATTATTTTTTTATTAAAATTAGATTAAATTTAAACAAAAAAATTTTTTTTGTTTAAATTACTATGAAATTGACCAAAGTGGGATTAATTCAAGAGCGATTTTCTCAGAAACCGTTAAAGATAACGATTTGAAACAAGAGTACCTTTTTAACGTAAAACAGTTCGGGAAAACGGAATTTGCTGTCCAATTTGTTAAAAAGTCAAAGATGAAAAAGTTACACACGCAAAGTACCAAGGGCCCCCCCGTACCCACCCCAATGGACCTTGTGGAAATAAATGGATTAGTCCATCAAATTGCTCATCAAAATTTAGCTGTGTATACCAAATTTCATTCATTTATCACAACGCGATTGAGAGATATTGCAAAAAAATGATTTCCATTCCTCCCTCTTCAATGGGTCCCTGTGCCCTTAGGAAGCATTTCCGGACCCATGTTCATATGAACTTTTTTACTTAGTTTTGATCATAGAATCGGCCTGTTCAGGGTTGGCAGCTAATTATGAGACACCCTGTATAATTTGGGCGAATTAGGTTTTTTTTTCAAAACTCGGACCTAACTCGAATTTTATGGGCTTAAAATTAAGTAAAAGTCCACAGAACAAATGTCTAAATTTGTGTATTTGTGGAGGTCGAACGTCATATTGTTTATAACAAAAGAAAAAAAAAATTATTGCTCTTTTTTGTTTTTCACTTATATCTCCGAAAATAAGCCTCTAATTGACATGAGGTATGCTTAACGATTTTCTTCCTAAGGAAATTTGCTACAAAGACAAGCATTTGCAAAAGTTCGCAAAAATTTTTTTACATTGCAAAATTATCAGTGAAAAAAATGTGCAAAATTTTCAGAATTAAATAAAAAGAACAAAATTGACCGAAATTAGATAAAACTACAGGAAAAGATAACTGTTGGTGCTCAACAAATATCCGCAATTCAGACCCCGAATTTCAAAATGGCGGCCTATTGCAAAATTATATACGAAAACGCGAGTGCGTATATTTTCTGCCCAAGTCAAGATATCGAAATTTTGTAGAAAAGGTTCGCAAGATAATTACATTATCTCGCGTCTGTGCAAATTTCAGATTTTTAGTTGCAAAATAAAAAAGTTATTAACAAAAAACCAAAAAAGAAACGGTAACTAGGGTCCTTATCTCGGCAATTGTTTAATATACAGATTTCAAACCAATTACATCAAATAGTGCTTAAAAAACAAGAATTAAGAAAAAAAAGAGCGTCTCGATCCGACCAATAGAAACCAAGATAATTTTTTTTATTTAAACGGTATTTTGGCTATTCTATTTAATATTTTGGAGTAAACTTGGTGTCGTTGTAAAGTAGAAGACTTCCTTTATTTGAATTTTTTTGAATGGATTCGACCAAGAAGTGACCAAGTAAACGTTCGTTAAAGACAACGTGATCCGCGCGGCTGAACAGTAGTCAGGAGAAGGGAGGGCTGTGACGTCATAGTGCCCGTGCTGCCCTCAACTTCTCAAAATTCTTACTTAACAAATGGATTGTGGCATTTAGAAAGCCGCTACCGGGTTGCTTTTTTTTAATCAACTTATTTTTTTCCGCTCTTTCGAGTGGTGTAAGCAAAAGTCTGTGAAAGTCATCGCCAGTTCCACAAAAATACATTTTTATTGACTTTTCACGTTTTATTTTGTAATTTCATTGTGCTTTCGATATTTTGAAAAGTAAGGAGGTCTTTTTACGTATATAAAAACAAAAGTCAATTATTTCTTTGAAAAAAAAAATGATGAATGAATGAAAATTTACCGTGCTCAGAAGAGGTCGATGTATAAAATATGGTATCAAAATTAACTGTTACACTTACCGCGTAAATTATGTACATTCAATTCTACCATATTGTATTTAATGAATTGTATTGCTAAAGAAAGTTGTCTTTTTTAGTATTAAAAATATATTTTTTTAAGCGCTATTTGATGCAATTGATTTGAAATCTGTATATTAAACAATTGCCGAGATAAGGACCCTAGTTACCATGTTTTTTTTTTGTTTTTTTGTTAATAACTTTTTTATTTTGCAACTTAAAAATCTGAAATTTGCACAGACGCGAGATAATGTAATTACCTTTCGAACCTTTTCTATAAAATTTCGATATCTCGGGCAGAAAATATACGCGCTCGCGTTTTCAACTTTATAATTTTGCAATAGGCCGCCATTTTGAAATTCGGGGTCCGAATTGCGGATATTTGTTGAGCACCCCAACAGTTATCTTTTCCTGTAGTTTCATCTAATTTCAGTCAAAGTTCTTTTTATTTAATTCTGAAAATTTTGCTCATTTTTTTTCACTGCTAATTTTGCAATGTAAAATTTTTTTTGCGAGCTTTGACAAAAACCTATATTTGTAGCAAATTTCCTCAGGAATAAAATCGATAAGTATACCTCATGTCATTTTCGGAGATATAAGCGAAAAACAAAAAGAGCAATAATTTTTTTTCTTTTGTTGTAAACAATATGACGTTCGACCTCTACAAATAGACAAATTTAGACTTTTCTTCTGTGAATATTTTAGCCCATAAAATTCGAGTTAAGTCCGACTTTTGAAAATAAAACCTAATTCGCCCAGATTATATACGCATTTCCCGCACGCAGCTTGCGCGCTCGGTAAGTAGTACAATTTACCCCGTTTTAAACGCCCCTGCCCCAACTAAGCTGTCAGCAACTTTTATTTTCGTACTCCCACGATGGTCTAGGTCTAGAATATATTTTATGAGTTGCTGACATTAATCTGAACGCGGGGTAATTTTCGTATTTTCCCCCGCACCCCCAACCCCTGCCCCACAAGAGGTGTCAGCAAACTCTGAAACCCTGTTATTCAACATACGACCAACACATTAAAAAACAAAATTGGCCATTAGTCCGTTCACGGGGGATTTTGACACCAATCTCTCCGTCTAATAGTTCCGGACGGTTCGCCGATTCTCGGGAATTGCTGTTCGATTTGGATTCTGACATCTGCCCTCTCCCGATTCGGGCGATTCAAGGCTGTTGACTTTCCCATCGTGGAATATTGTGGTCAGTCTAAATTTATGCAAGGCAACTCTGTGTCGTGTCTCAACTCAAATTTCGTAGCATGCTTAGCTTTTTCACCAAAAAATTCAAAACTACAGTGAAATGTTGGGCGTTCCTCGAGTGTTGTCAGCGGTCGCTTTGCTAACAGTTCTCCTGATGTCGTTTACTGGGGGTATTGGCTACTCTGTAAACCGTTCCGACGGCAACGATTGAATTCGAAACGTGGGTGTTAATTTCAATTTAGGATGGTCGATTAGGTACCCTCAAGTATCGACAACTACTTCTGGCTGGCGCGTAAGAGTTTTAAAAGCGGCTTTGTAGTAGGCTATGGGTTTTTTGTGTGACAAAAATACTAACAGCATACCACCTGTGCCATCATTTAAAAGACAGCCCATAGATATACTCTGATGTGTTTTCGACTCGCAACTCTCATTGATTAATTTGTTATTAACATTTTAGTGAAAAAAAAACGCGTTCTTTTAGTTTTTTGCTTATAAAACCAAAACTACTAGAGCAATCTCAATTCCGTAAGTGTAGGAAATTAAATTTCAAAGAAAATGAGAGGTTGACCGATTCGATCGGTTGATTAGAACCGGAGAAAACCCGGAAAAACCGGAAAATTCGGTTCAAGTTTCATCCATTTCGCTGCATTTTAACGAAAACTTGAAATATACGTTTTATAGTATTTTACTTTGAAAACCGGTATTAGAATTAAAATCGGACCATTTTTAACGCAAGCAGACTCCCGGCAAGAAAATGCATACAAAATTTGAAATTGTAATTACGCAAAAACTAATGGTCCGACAGCGCCTGCCTTTTACACACTTAAAGTTGATATCTACTTCTGTGCCATATTTCAGCTCTTATTCTTCATAAATGACAAAGTAATGAATTTTTCGGTTTCTCCGGATTTTCTCCGGTTTTTATCAACCGATTGATTCGCTCGACCTCTCATTTTCTTCGAAATTTAATTTCCTACAACTTTTCCATTTACGAAATTGAGATTGCCCTAGTTGTTTTGGTTTTATAAGAAAAAACTAAAAAAAAACGCTTTTTTCGCACTAAAATGTTAATAACAAATGAATCAATGAGAGTTGCGAGTAGAAAACACATCAGAGTATATCTATGGATTGTCTTTTAAAAGATGTCACAGGTGGTATGCTGTAAGTAATTTTGTCAAGACATAACCTTTTTTTTTGCTCTATTTATTGGCCAAATTATTGGCCAATTTATTTATTTATTGGTCAAATTCGAAAGTTGGATGAAATTCAAAATTCAGACGAGACTTGGAATACGACAAATCATTCGATTGTAAAATTCCGAACTTATTTTCTTCTTATTACCAAATAAATCACACTTTTCGTCGAAAATGCGTAGGTGATCACTAATAAAATAAATGATTACGCGAAAACTGTTAGAAATACAAACAAATGTACAACAGAAAAACACTCGAAGTAAGTCTATACCTCTATGATTAAATAAAAATTGTAGGTATAAGGTCACTCGTAAAAAATATAAACATATTATTTCCTTAGATCACTATGTCAAAAAGTTGTACCAAATCTGTTATTAAAAAAAAACAAAAAAATTTAATATGACACCATTTAGCAGTTAAATTAAGCAACTTTAATAGAGATACTTCATTTTAGCTTATTTGAGATCACGGGTTAAATTTTTTGAAATTCGTACACGCAAATAGATTTTTATTAGCTAATTATTTTTGTACACTAACGCTTTATAAAGTTGTATCGATACCAATAAAATAGAAATAATCACCTCAAAGCGGCACTGAATATTCCGGCTACGATTACCCCCGGAAGTCCAGGCACATCTCCAAGGATATCCATAACTAGTAGCGGTAGAAGCTGGTCCTTTTCCCTAGCAAGCTAAAATTCTTCATAAAAAATATGCTTTTGATTTTTAAGTTGCCTTACCATTGTTGTAAGTGGATCACATTTGTAGAAAGTAGCGTAAATGAGCATTCCACAATAAGAACACAAGCAAAGTATCAACAATACGCCGATGAAAAACACCCAAAGAGCCCTGTAACACGTCAAAATAGCTGTAAATTTAAATAACTTTTCTGGTAGCAATTATTGAACAGCTTCAAGGGAAGTTAAACAGACGTTTTTTATTGTTTCGCTAATAAGATACTAGAAAATTACTTTAAAATACAATTTACTAAGTCGCCAAGGCTGCAAAAGATAAAAAATGTATTCGTGTCAAGGAGTAATTCGATAACTGCATAAAAATTAAATAATCAAAACTGAAATCTATAAATGTGCTGGCATTCTATTAATTTTACGTAAAATGAATGAGAAATCTATACCTCTAGAAAACAGGGTGATTCACAGAAGGCCCAAAAAGATTAGAGAAAGATCTCAAATGTTACAAATTTGCCTTATAAACGCGCGTCCAATTATTATTATCAGTTTATAAGTTACAGGAGCCCAGGGAAAAAATATAGAATATATATAGAATTCCAGTTCCATTGTTAAAATAGTTAACCAATTTTAGAAATATTTTGGAATCTTCTGCTTAAAAGTACGTCAATCTACGGATTCCGTTTGAATGAAATCTTCATAATAATGTTTTCATATTTGCAACATTTTTCACGTTCTATCTTTGAATGTATTTACAGTTACTGTGAGTAACACTATAATTATATTTTCCATACTTTAGATATTTTAAGACTACCGCATGCTGTCCGTAAAAATCTAAATTATTTTAAAATGTGAACTATTTAATTCCTTTTAATATAGATTTCTAAAGAAATAGATCATTTCGCTAAATTAAAATATCGTACCATACCTTTTTGCTGATTGTAGCGAAGGTAGAGCTAAATACCGCTGAATCATACTTTGATTTACAGATGCTGTTTGCAAACAATACACGCTACCCCCAAGAACCAAAGACCAAATCGTATGCCTTGAAAGTGGATCTAAATCAAAACTAAAAGCTTTTATTTTTAATCATCATTTACCTCACAGTTTATATAATTTTTCAAAAAGCTTATTCTGGCTTTAGATAAAAGAGAAACAAAAATAGTTTGTCGAGTAACTTCAGCTCAGCGAACAATAAATTAGATATCTCTTATAAGGGTAAAGAAACACGCAATATAATTTATTGTGCACTGAGAATGTTTTTAACTTTCTCTTGTTCTAATGCTAAAAATTTTTAAAAATTTAATTAAAAAGGCGTTTTAATTATATGGCGTGCAAATAAAGAGGCTTGAAAATATCAAGATGATTCTTCTTTGAAAATTAAGAGAGGGGACTTTTATGTGCTAAAAAAATATCTCCCCGTGGATGTATGGCCCTTCAGAGACAGAAAAATTTAATTTTTTAATATTTTTTTTCCTTAAACATGGAGAAAAAACGAAATTAGTTATACCTTTCTTACTGTCGAAACAGCATCTTCTAGAAAGTTTCCTATCGCCATTATGACCATTTAAAAATCTCTTTTAGATAGCTTAATTTCTAACAAATTTGACTCCGTAAATACTATAGTTTCTCAGCAGCAGTTACGATAATTATTAGTTTTTCTAAAAAAATGACTTCCCCTATAAACCTCCTCCCATTGCAACACAAAGCGGAGATCAAGAGATTATCCACTAAATCCCTTCCGATAATACGAAACGCAGATGTAATTTCATTTTGTTCTCCATATTTTTTAACAAGGAATCATCTTAACGTTTTCGCACTTACTTACTTACAGCCTGCATATATGATTCCTTGTAATCACTTACTTAGGACCTTCTATGCGTCCACTTTCCCAGTTCCTTTGAAATACAGTTTTAAAGCCACCAACATCAAGTGTGCCCTTTACGGCCACCAAAATCATTGCCCCGAACATAATCACTATTTGAATTACATCTGTCCACACAACTCCTTTTAATCCACCCTAAAATATTTTTAACGAACTCCTTATCTACCATAGTTGTTAGTCCTGAATACTTCTACTTCCGATATACAAGTATTTTAGTAACGACAATAATTGAAATTTAAACTTAAAATAAAATCTTAAAACGTGAACAATAGCCAATAAATTAAAAATGTGTTTGGTGATTATTACACACTACACACAGTACAGTATTATACACACACAATAACAAAAAAGTGGGCTGTTCCACGGATGAGACTCTTGCCATTCTATGTATTTTTACCTCAACAACCTAACCTTTTTTTTAATTCATGAAAAACTACCTCTAAATCTTAAATGCAGCCAAAATTCTGCATTCAAAAGGTTTCTTTTTGGGCACACACTGAATCAACCTTTGCCGCCCCTCAGAACTACAAAATAAAATAATAAAATCAACTGATCCGCATTTGGTAGGTGTCTGCTTGGGCAAAACCCTAAAAACGCATCATGTATCACATTCGTGAGACTTATTGCACATTTTGTGTACTCAAAGTTCTAATCAACTGTCAAATTAAAAAAATCGGCTAAAATTTTATAATTGGCTGATTCAAGTCTTAAACTAAAAAAGAGATAGAGGGAGTTCGTGGATCTTCCTCTCTGTAAATTCATGATTTGAGTTTGTGACTTGATTTTTATTTTTTAGGAGGTGGTTTTCAGGTGTTCACCGAAAGGTTGATTAATTCTTTATATACCTTTACATACAAAATATATAATAAGTCCATCTTATGCGTCCATGAAATAAACCATTTTTTTGTTTCTGTATGCCTCTGTTATTCTCCTTTGTACACATTAACGATTTTTTTTATTGTATTTAATTATTACTAAAAAGGATCTCTGTCTTACCATTGAAGTGTAGAACATACATATCACACAAACTATTGGTGTGATAACGTGAACATTCACTCCAGTGACTGAAAATTATGTACAGATTTATATTAGCTTATTCCCTCAAATGTTTACGAAAATACATAATGCAGAAGATTTACCTTGATTAAAAGCCAAAGCTGGGACATATATCACTAGTGGCAACCAAGAGATTATTCCAAATGTAAACAGCAATGATCCAAACAATCTAACTTTTCGATCAAATCTTCTTTCGTGATACTAAAATCAAATTAATTGCTTTTTTATTAGTGTGACGAGAACTTTTTTGTTTCAGATTCCTATCCCAAATAGAGCATATAGAGATGCAATTATACAGGGTGTCCCGATTTATACGTACTGTTAACTTACAAGATTCGAAAAGAAATGAAGTTCAATTTTTATTTTTTTTAATAAATCTATGTATACACGCATTCGGAAACTGGTTTATTGAGAATTGCAAACCCTAAGCCTTTTACAATTATTTGAAATGCCATTTTTTTAAAAACTGTATCAGAAATTTTTTATTGGGAACACGACATTACTAGATTCATTTTTTCGAAATATATAGAATAAATACGATTAAAGACGATTTGAGAACAAATTTAAAATTGACACTTTTTTGCATATGTCTAACTCCTACAATAAAAGGGATGTCATATACGTAACTCAAATTTGAGACAAACTAATGTCTCAGGTTAAAATGTTATTTTCAAGAATAGCATAGTTTTCAGATAAAGGGAAATATTGAAATATACGTACATCACTCATATGTTTCTACTAACCTCATATGTTGATGTTAATTTAAGCCCTTGAAAAACGGGCAGATAGATCGATCCCATGGCAAAAGTCATTAGCAAAAATCCCCCCATTATATACATATATTGTATTCCATAAACGTAAATTTCTGTTGGAATTCCTAGCAGGGATATTCCGCTTATAAAACTGAAAAAAAATAAAATTTAGAAAAATTTAGTTTTTATCAATTAAACTATAAACATAAAATGTTTCCTTTTGTATCTAGCGTAAATAATACATTTCTTTTATTCCATCGACTGTAAAATAAGCTTGTAGGTTTAGATACAGTCCGTACAATATTTGCTGAGATAGAATTCCAAGAAAAGAATACGCCAATAAAGTTCTGTTATCCGAACTACTGTAACAATTTACAGCAGGGGCGTGCCTTGAAATTTTCCGCATTATGTTCAGAATATTAAAATATGTGTAAGGTGAATATATATAAAATAGATTTTTNTGACTTGAAACATTTAGAAATTAAAATTAAGAAACATGAAAATTCTCCTAAACACAAAAATAAGTTGGTGAGTTTTTTACTTTTAGGAAGAGTAAATATTGCTTCTTGTTTAAATAGTGCTTATGCAGAACAAATAAATAGTAAATAGTCATAACGAAACAGTTAAGAAAAATCGATTGCTTCTTTCAAAAATTTTAAATATCTTAAAACTATGTGGTACATGTAACCTTTCTCTTCATGGACATAATAAAAAAGTGACTCGGTAAACAAAGGGGTATTTTTAGAACTGATAGACTATAGTGCAAAAATTGATCCCGTTTTAGATAAACATCTTAGTGATGCCCATGTTTTTAAAGGAACTTCAAAAACTATACAGAATGAACTATTACAGTAATCTACATAATTATATCCTAACTGGGTTGGTTGATCGATTATCCACTTCAGCCCCCACACGTTGGAATTTTATTTCCCGCATTGTATCTAATTGTAAGTAGCTACTGTACACACTGACAGTATTCATTTTGGGGTACTTGCAAAACACAATGACCTTCAAATTCCTTAAAATTTTTCGCATGCGGCGCTGAGCACCCCCGCAGCTTTTATGATGTACGTCCTGTTTTCAAAATGCGCCCCCCTGTATTCAAACCCACGGGCCGCCACTGCATACATCTCCAAGAAGTACGGAAAATACCTCTTTGGGAAGGAGTGCGCATGTGTCCTGTCCTTCTAATGCAATATTTATCGGTTTTTCTAAAAAATTGGCGGAAAAACGGGAATCAAGAAATTATCCACTAAATCCTTTCCAATAATAAGAAAAGCAAACTTAATTTCATTTTTGTAACTTTCTCTTAAGTATTTTTACGGAAAAAATACAACTAAATTTTTCTCTCTGCGTTTGAAGGGCCATAATTCCGTAGGAAGGGGAATGGCGAGACTTTTTTACAAGAAGGATAACTTTTCTTGTTCAACAAGAAATCATCTTAATGTTTTCACACTTACTTATTTACGCCCTGTATATATGATTCCTTATAGTCACTTACTTAGGACCTTCTATACGTCCACTTTCCCAATTCCTTTGAAATACAGTTTTAAAGCCACCAATATCAAGTGTGCCCTTTACGGCCACCAAAATCATTGCCCCGAACATAATCACTATTTGAATTACATCTGTCCACACAACTCCTTTTAATCCACCCTAAAATATTTTTAACGAAATCGTTATCTTCCATAGTTGTTAGTCCTGAATACTTCTACTTTCGATATAAAAGTATTATTCTGCAGTAACGACAATAATTAAAATTTAAACTTAAAAGAAAATATTAAAACGTGAACGATATCCAATAAATTAAAAATTTGTTTGGTGATTATTACACAGTACACACAGTACAGTATTATACACACACAATAACGAAAAAGTGGGCTGTTCTACGGATGAGGCTCTTTCATTCTAGCCATTCTATGTATTTTTGCCTCAACAACCTAACCTTTTTTTAATTCATGAAAAACTACCTCTAAATCTTAAATGCAGCCAAAATTTTGCATACAAAAGGTTTCTTTTTGGGCACACACTAAATCAACCTTTGCCGCCCCTCAGAACTACAAAATAAAATGAAAAAATCAACTGATCCACATTTGGTAGGTGTCTGCTTGGGCAAAACCCTAAAAACGTATCCTGTATCACATTCGTGACACTCATTGCACATTTTGTGTACTCAAAGTTCTAATCAACTGTCAAATTAAAAAAATCGGCTAAAATTTTATAATTGGCTGATTCAAGTCTTAAACTAAAAAAGAGATAGAGGGAGTTCGTGGATCTTCCTCTCTGTAAATTCATGATTTGAGTTTGTGACTTGATTTTTATTTTTTAGGAGGTGGTTTTCAGGTGTTCACCGAAAGGTTGATTAATTCTTTATATACCTTTACATACAAAATATATAATAAGTCCATCTTATGCGTCCATGAAATAAACCATTTTTTTGTTTCTGTATGCCTCTGTTATTCTCCTTTGTACACATTAACGATTTTTTTTATTGTATTTAATTATTACTAAAAAGGATCTCTGTCTTACCATTGAAGTGTAGAACATACATATCACACAAACTATTGGTGTGATAAGGTGAACATTCACTCCAGTGACTGAAAATTATGTACAGATTTATATTAGCTTATTCCCTCAAATGTTTACGAAAATACATAATGCAGAAGATTTACCTTGATTAAAAGCCAAAGCTGGGACATATATCACTAGTGGCAACCAAGAGATTATTCCAAATGTAAACAGCAATGATCCAAACAATCTAACTTTTCGATCAAATCTTCTTTCGTGATACTAAAATCAAATTAATTGCTTTTTTATTAGTGTGACGAGAACTTTTTTGTTTCAGATTCCTATCCCAAATAGAGCATATAGAGATGCAATTATACAGGGTGTCCCGATTTATACGTACTCTTAACTTACAAGATTCGAAAAGGAATTCAATTTCAATTTTTATTTTTTTAATAAATCTATGTATACGCGCATTCGGAAACTGGTTTACTGAGAATTGCAAACCCTAAGCCTTTTACAATTATTTGAAGTGCCAATTTTTTAAAAACTGTATTAGAAATTTTTTATTCGGAACACTACATTACTAGATTCAAATTTTTTCTAAATATATAGAATAAATACGATTAACGACGATTTGAGAACAAATTTAAAATTGACACTTTTTTTGCATATGTCTAACTCCTACAATAAAAGGGATGTCATATACGTAACTCAAATTTGAGACAAACTAATGTCTCAGGTTAAAATGTTATTTTCAAGAATAGTATAGTTTTCAGAAAAAGGGAAATATTGAAATATACGTACATACTCATATGTTTCTACTAACCTCATATGTTGATGTTAATTTAAGCTCGTGAAAAACAGGCAGATAGATCGATCCCATGGCAAAAGTCATTAGCAAAAATCCCCCCATTATATACATATATTGTATTCCATAAACGTAAATTTCTGTTGGAATTCCTAGCAGAGATATTCCGCTTATAAAACTGGAAGTAAAAATTAAAATTTAGAAAAATGTAGTTATTTTTATTAGTTAAACTATAAACATAAAATGTTTCATTTTGTATTTAGCGTAAATACGAGTAATACATTTCTTTTATTGCATCGACTGTAAAATGAGTTTGTGAGTTTAGATACAGTCCGTACAATATTAGCTGAGATAGAATTCCAAGAATAGAATAAGCCAATAAAGTTCTGTTATCGGAATTATTGTAACAATTTACAGCAGGGGCGTGCCTTGAAATTTTCTGCGTTATTTTCAGAATATTAAAATATATGTAAGGTAAATATATATATAAAATAGAGTTTTTTGATTAAAATGTGTTTACAATTATAAACACGTTGGTACAAAGAAAGGAATATACAAAGAAACACGCCTTTGTAACTGCAAAACACAGTATGCACTGCAAGCCGCTACGGTGTACCCCACGCCGCCAATGTCTTTCTAGCTCGGGTGTCGAATGCTATTAATTCCAAGAAACTTACGTAGGGGTCTTCTCGAAATTATATCTTAACATTGTATGTATTTTAGTTTTTATAGAAATAATAATATTGTATACAATAAAAATATTTCGCGTAAGCTTTTCTTTTCGATTTTCAATTAAAATTATTCTACTACTCTATCTTCTCGTGTAAAATACTACCTAGACTTTTTAAATTAAATAATATGCCCTTTGTCGGTCGATAGCCGCACGGTTTAAGGCGTCAGTCCTTTAATCGTGTGCAAATTTCTGCCCGGGTTCGATTCCCGCGGCCGGTAGCCCGTATATTAGCTATGCTTGTACGGAGGATTGGCACCCTCTGTGGAGGTATGGTAGGGTGGAAGAATGTTGGCTTGGGTCAATGTGAGAGATTGACACCGGTTGGCATTTGACCACCCCCCTAATTAATGAGGTTTTCCAGGTTTCCCTCATTCCTGCACTGAATGGTGGTTAGGGCCTACCAACATAAGTCGTTCCTGGGCGCAAATGCGGCCTGCGTAATAATAATATGCCGCCTCCTCTCCCGCACAAGTCTCCGACTTCTGGGCTAATTCTCGTAGTTAGAATGAGGAGTAGAGATATTATTATTATTATTATTATTATTATTATTATTATTATTATTATTATTATTATTATTATTATTATTATTATTATTATTATTATTATTATTATTATTATTATTATTATTATTATTATTATTATTATTATTATTATTATTATTATTATTATTATTATTATTATTATTATTATTATTATTATTATTATTATTATTATTATTATTATTATTATTATTATTATTATTATTATTATTATTATTATTATTATTATTATTATTATTATTATTATTATTATTATTATTATTATTATTATTATTATTATTATTATTATTATTATTATTATTATTATTATTATTATTATTATTATTATTATTATTATTATTATTATTATTATTATTATTATTATTATTATTATTATTATTATTATTATTATTATTATTATTATTATTATTATTATTATTATTATTATTATTATTATTATTATTATTATTATTATTATTATTATTATTATTATTATTATTATTATTATTATTATTATTATTATTATTATTATTATTATTATTATTATTATTATTATTATTATTATTATTATTATTATTATTATTATTAATATTTAAAAATTTTGTGAAGGAATTTGAGATTGACCATTTTTGACCCAACAAATTATTTAAAAAACACAATTATCGATCAAATTAAAAGCTACTAAATTGGAAAGAAGACTATTTTTTCGATATTAGAAAAGAAACCGGTGCCAATATTTTAAAACGTAATTGAAATGAAATTGATGAATGTTAGTAAAAATTCCCAAAATTGAATGATACATTAGAAAAATGCTGCATTGTTTCAATTTAGCAAATGATTGAAAATGTTAATATAATAAACATGAAAAATGACGAAAATGACCTTGGTTTTGACACAGAGGTCAAACATAGAGGGCATTTGGAGGTCAATTTCAGAATTGTAAATGGAAACCCCATTTGTTTTATCAAGAAATGGAAAAAGGAAGAAATTCTACGTTCAGAGATGTATATGTGATTTTGGATCAGATTAACCCCTAGTGGCCCTCTGCAGTTCGAATCAGCTTAAATGACCCCTAAATTTGACCCCAGGGCTCAATGTCAAAATCACAATTAGACCATAAATCATGGCCATAGTACTTTGTATAGAATTTGTCAAAAAAATTAATCAACTTTTGCCATAAAAGTAAACATTTCAGTCGGAAATCTGAACTCTTTCTATTTCTGGATAAAACAAATGGGGTTTCCATTTGATCTCTTTTTTTGAAACTAAAACGTGGTATATAAATTACTGACCTAGCTACAAGGGAAAGGGCAACTGGTACTACTTTCATATTCCGACCACCCACCAAGTATTCCTGAGCATTCTGTGATTTGTAAGAAAAAGCATAGTATAGTCCTATGCTAATACAAATCAGTAACATTCCCACAAACATGATATAGTCTGGCCAGCCGAATCGTTGCATTGCTGCTCCAACATCTTCGACGCCAATTCCGGTAACTACTTTATCACCAACATCCAACGTGGACATCATTGGTATGTTATTGTCCCCCATTGTACCCTATAAAACGAGTTTTGTATTTATCAATTTATTACTTCGAATTGTTCAAGAAATTATCACGATTTGCTATATTTGAGGCAACCTTTTAAATTTTAAATGAATAAGTAAATTTGTTAGCAAAATTTAGTTCAACCAACTATTAGAATAAAAATCGAACATGACAACAGCAAATCACAAACCATAATAACCTTATATCTAACTTATTACCATACTATACAATAAAAATAGTAATAATAATAATAAATAAGCATGCCGTGGCCTATGTACAGGGTGATTCACTATATTTTGACCCCTCCCCAATACCTCTTTTTGTTTTTTGAGTTATAAAAAATGTGACATACAAACGTTGCACGATTTTTTATGATGTTTTCGAAAATAATAGTAGAAAAACAAATTATGTCCAAACAAAATGGCCGCGGATGTTAACCTTGTTAGTTTAAATGGAACACCCTGTATATTTTTACATACTTGGATAGAACGTTTCCTGTCGAGCATAATCATATGGGATTTGGTGAGTCCGTATTATTATTTAATTAAAATGGGTTACACAGAATCTGAAAAGTTTGAAATATTTTTTCTTTATGTAAAAAATAATAAAAATATAAAAGCTGCAAGCAGGATCGGTAAAAATGAACCCATTCCATGGTCACCAAACAGTCATGATTTAACACCCTCGAATACATTTTTGTGGGCATTTTTAAAGGACAAAGTTAATAACATTTTTAATAACAGCATTCAAATCATTAGAAATAAAATTACAGAAACTTTTTATGTATTTAAAATGCACCTAACAATATAACTGGGCTAATTTTTTGATCGGTTTATTAATTCAAAAACTGGAAATTGTAAAATACGTCTAAAATGTGAATAAAAAAACCTAATTGATTTGGCTGTTAACTGATTGAAAAAAGACTTATTTGGTTAAACAATTTCCGTTTGATTGTGGCTCTAGACTCTAGATGTACCTACCTACTGAAAATGTTTCCTTATTAAAGGTACATTAAAAGATGTAAAAAATGCATATACGAATGTTCATATTACAGAACTATACCTACACAAATGCTTTTACTGTTGACATTTGTCAATGAAAATGACCATTTATAAAGAAAATCTAACAGCAAATAGGTACTTCAAATTTTTTTAAACAGTATCATCCATCGTTTTGAGAGATATTTCTTCTTAGTAATAAATGTATTTTTATACCTTCATTAAAAATCTGTACATAAGGTTACATCTGAGGAACTAAACTTCATTACGTTTATTAAGACATTCTTTTGTAGGGAATTCATTTTTATTTGAAACAACAAATACATATAACTAAATTTTATATCAACTTGATTCTTTTTACTGTCGTCCGCCTATGGATAACATCATTTTATATTGATTATTTTCTTAAGGAGGCAACACTAGGAAAATTAATCACAACGTACAACTTGTACATTTCTCATTTTTTTTATAAAACACTATCATAATTACTTCTGTAAACTATATGTGATTTATTCACCCTAATTTCTTATAGTCTATTAGCACCATTATGATAAATAAATGAGAAATGTTAAAATCGGTCATTAAGTTTAATTTCAATGTAATAATTGACAAAACATTAAAATTAGCTTCTAATTTATTAGAATTAACAAAAACACCGAAGTGGACCGCATAAAATTATTTTTTATGTATGTTTAAATTGTATTGTAAGAAAATACATTTTCCAATGTAGGCATGTGGAATCGAATGGAACATTTATCGTAATAGTTTCAGTAACTCCATTTATAATGGATAAGTACATTTGATGACGTGAGCTTGGAAAAACTGTAATAATAAGGTATTTAGGCTCAATATTTTTTCTGTACGTAAGATTCCTATAGGGGCAATTACCTTATACATTATAAATTAAACAAGTAATAGATGTTTAAATTTCTGTGAATTACGTATATTTAATGGAGAAGAAAAATGTAAAAGAACGAGGATATATTGTGAGTAACGATTTTTAAAATTATGATTGTTGAATAAAACCAGATAAAATATAAAGTTACAATTTTATGGATTTTGTAATTCCACGTCTAATTTTGTTTCCGCAATTACAATGAAGAATGGTCGTACTAGTTATATTATTTAGGATCTATTGTGGGAACATAATTATTGAAGATGTTCTGTGTCTAGCCAATTTTTTTTTAATCCGAATATTTACTTTAAGAACGTGTGTTATATCATATCTAAAGAAGTTTGTCTGTGTAGGATTTCTACCCACACAAAGCTAAACGTCCACTACAAAGTCAAATGTGTTTAAACAAGTAATTTAACTTTTACAAACAAACAACATCTTTAAACAGTACTTAGTCCCCGAGTTAGTCCCTTACAGACTGTTATTGAGTACATGTCTTGAAAATGGTGATAGGGACACGAAAATGTGTTACTAAGCAACTGATTGTTTAAAACATTACGTTTTAAATTGAAAAAAAAATCATATGAAAGTTTAAACAAATTTAAACCGTCCCTAGCGCGGCAGCCAGTTGCCACACGCTGCAGTGCGAAAGCGCTTATGGCGGTTTTGACAGTTTAAATTTTGTATTCGAAAATGCTGAAATTTATTCAAATCTCGTTTAAAAGTAACACAAAAATTAAAAGAATAAAGACTCTAAAAACTCTAAATAAACAGGACCATTTAAACTATCGGACCGAAAAACGCCACACATTCACTGAAAACCGTTGCTAAAACCGAGATGTCACAATGTGAGGATTTGTATCACACCAATACTGAGTGTTGTGAACCTTTGTATGCCGTATCTATATTCATCCGTAAAATGCACCTTGCTTGTAAAATCCGGATCTTGCGCTATTTGATGTCGAAACCTCTGACAAAATTCCACACACGGCTGAAAATCATTGTTATTAATGTCGTACACGCCACACGGTACTATTAGATACATTCACTTCTCGGTCAATGTCGCGAGTACTGCGGCTCGGATCTTCCTCAACGAGGTTTATGATGTTTTCTTCGTTGTCGAAAACATATTGCGGCCTTTCCCGTTCACGACTTTCATATGTCAGGTGGACATTCCCGATATCCCGTAACTTTTGATCTGCCTTTTGCACTGTTCTACTGTTAAGTTGTCGTCTGTTATGGTAACGGACAGCATACAACCGACAAGTCTTATTTAAATTAATACCATATCTGCTAGTTCTTTATCAGAAAATAGTTTATACGTCGGCTAAGTAATACTGCAAAACACAACTAAATAACACAAGATGTACTGACCTACGATCAGATTTGCTGGATTGTGGACGTCACGTGAAACGTCAACCAATTAGAGAAGCGCTTCACTCATGTAGCGAGTCCGAAGCATTCTGGCCATGCACGTGCACAAGATGCATAGGGTTGGATTATATTATGGTTAATTTTCTTAATTAATTTTCTGGAATTGAGAAGCATTTAGACCATCAGTTGCTTAATAAACGTTGCTCACTTTTGTGCTCTCTTTTCAAGGAACGCACACAAACACTGCATATATTAAATGTTATCAAGTACCGGGACACCCTGTATATAATGAGTGTTCCACGAAAAAAGAGCAAGAGTATTTACATGGTATTTTTTTATGACACGACCCTCTGTAACTTTAAAACGGATTATCTGACTGATATTAAATTTGCATTGATGCCTGATTGTCATTTCTGCGAAACTTTATTTTTTTAATGGAACACCATATTATTTGAATAGAGCTGTTTCTTACTATTACAATGATATAAGATTTAATAGATCTTTAATAGTAAGGGACAAGTAGCTAAAGGAATGTTCTATGATCTTAATACGTCAGAAACAGTCTATTACTATTTGCCAGGAAATCAAGTCTTTGTATAACACATAGGGCATATGGCAAGATTTAATGGATCTCTAATACTAAGGGATATATGGCCAAAGGGACGTACTATTTACCGGAAAATTTGAATGATACATTGGGCTTACGGCACAGTCTTGGATATATTTTCCTTACTATTACAGACTATATCAAAATGTTTTTATATTGCCAGTGTTGCGAGAAACAACTACTCCGCAACACCTAATGCAACAGCTAGGATCGTTCGTCAGTTTAACCCACCAGGCACAGACCGGTTTCGGACTTATTAGTCCTTATTAGTTATTATCATTGTGTCATAGGTGAGTCAACCGACGAACGATCCAGCTGTTATAATAGTATCGTATACTCAGGACAAAGAGGTGCATTGTACGCTGAGCGCAAATAGTCGGGGCATAGCGGAGTTACTACTGCCCGCGGAGTAGTTGTTTCTCGCAACACTGGCAATTTAAAAACATTTTGTTTTCGCCCTGTTGGCGACAGTCGTGCAACAAAGTACCCGGCAAATTTTAGCAGGTCGCTTCCTACTGTTAGTAGCCATTTGAATGACGCAGTTAGGAAGTCAGCACGATAGATGGAGCCATTTGCACTCCGCGTACAAAATCAAATATTAAATAAAAGTATTAAAAACGTTTATATACCTGAAAACGTGCCAGTTTGACAACAATGTAGCTACTCTCATCGACTATGCTCTTTTACCTCCGGATGTCAAATTTGACATAAATTAGAAAATCCATATGAAACTTACAAAGGCTATGCTAATGACACCCTGTATTTCTCTGGAATTCGATGCCTAAAGTTTTTTTTTATATTAATGGAATGAATGCGTCATAAAAACTAGTAAAATAAATCATCTTTTACTTTTCCATGTCTTCAAGACAAGAAAGNACAATATATTGGTGGTAATAGTCGGACAGGACGACTTAAAAGGTAACCTGTGATAGTCAACGAAAACATACAATATATTGGTGGTAATAGTCGGGCAGGACGACTTAAAAGGTAACCTGTGATAGTCAACGAAAACATACAATATATTGGGGGTGACAGTCGGGCAGGACGACTATAAAGGGAGTATGTGTTCAGAGTTTAAGAATGCAAATGAATGAAGTATAAATAGACAATGCGTTCTTTTTTGCTTGTATGTCGATTGGATGCCCTGGCCAGGCGTCTGCCCCGACGTACCGGTAATAAAGCGTATTGCGGGCGTGGTATACAGATTGTGTAACAGAATTATAGATCTATCAAATGACCAATGGCAAAGCACAGCACATCTTTTCACATTCATGCTGACTAAATTATTATCTTGAACTTGACATCAGATCCTCAACAATAAATATGTTCGAAACAGTATACTGCCGTTAAGTTCCGTTTCTAGATCAGGGCCAAGGAATTCCCGAGGACGGGAATATACAGGATGGCCGAAATGTTATGAAGAGCGGGAAAGACAGACCAAGCGATGGTGGCTGGAACGCCAAAGCCAATGTTGTTCTAATATTTGAATGTGGAATGAAACAAATATTTTTAAGTGACAGGAGGATACAAAATTTAAGGGATTTAGATCTGCTGATTGATCACGGGGTTAGTTCACTACTGCAAATCCACTTTTGGTCACAGTTGTTACTTCAAAACTATCTTAAGCCATCGAAGAGGAAGCATCATGGTATATAAACTATACCTCGATCTATTAGCCCACGAAAAAAATAGAATATACAGCGTGGTAAAAAAGTTCTGCATAAAATTCATATTTTCGTTAAACAATTTTTTTTTCGAAAAACGGTGAGACCCGTCGATTTTTATTTGATCCAGGGCACCTTGTTCTGTGGAAAAATTTTTTTTTCGATAATCCACTTACGGCAGCGATGACATAATTTTTTTTTAATGCAACGCAT